ACGCCCCTAAATTCGGAAGAAACCTGAGATTAAAATCCTCCTGGGGGTCGTGTTGATGTGGATGAGCCAATGTAAGCCTTCTGATAGAGCCATGGGGTGATGGTGGTGATGGAGATGATTATTATTATTATTATTATTATTATTATTATTATTATTATTATTATTATTATTATTATTATTATTATTATTAAATTATTATTATTGTTCACTCAAGAAACCAAGAAACTGCCTTTACCATCTTTATTCGTCTCTGTTCTATTCATCCTTAATCTTAACCCTCAGTGTGTCTGTTGTTGTTCATTCCTCTGTGTGTGTGTGTGTGTGTGTGTGTGTGTGTGTGTGTGTGTGTGTGCCACTAGCCCACCCTCCCCTTCCTCATCATCTCCTATTGTTACCTCGTTTATCAACCCTCTCCTCTTCCTCCTCTCCCTTCTCCTCCTCCTCCTCCTCTCCTTCCCTTTCCACAGCTTCTACCAATTCCTTCTTCTAATCTTTTTCCTTCTGTAATTTCTGTTCCTTCTGTAATTTCTGTTCCGTCTGTCTTGTCTGTTCCTGTAGTTTAACCCTTTACGTATTAACTACCTCTTTACCCATTCCATCTACCCACCCATTCCATCTATCTACCCATTCCATCTACCTACCCATTCCATCTACCTACCCATTCCATCTACCCACCCATTCCATCTACCCACCCATTCCATCTACCCACCCATTCCATCTACCCACCCATTCCATCTGGTCCAGTGTGGAAGAGGATAGTGGCAGTGTTTAGCTCCCTATATCACCCTGTACAGCCTTCCTTCCCTCCCTCTCCCCCTCTCTCCCCCCCCTCTCTCCCTCTCCCCCCCACGACTGTATTGATCAGCATGGGAGACTGGGGGGGTGAGAGAGGGGGTGGGAAGGCAACGACCCTCACATTCACCCGGGTTCCTCCCCTCCTCCCCTCATATAGTCGTGTTTGGTGGGAATTGTCTATTTTCTCCCCTCATTTACACTTCTGTACACACACATAATGATAATAAATGACTTACGACTGAAAATGAATTAATATAACCTTTTTATATGTTATATTTTCGACTTTTTTTTGTTTTTAGAAAGATCTCCAACAGCCATTATGATTAAAGCTGTCAATCTTACGTGATTTAAAACTCTTACGTGATTTAAAACTGTCTTACGTGATTTAAAACTGTCTTTCGTGATTTAAAACTGTCATACGTGATTTAAAACCGTCTTTCGTGATTTAAAACCGTCTTACGTGATTTAAAACCGTCTTTCGATTAATTAGTGACTATATCATAGGAATTATAAGTTAATTACTCTATTGTGTCTTAGTGTTTTATTGAAGACGTCAGACATCCATATTATCATTATCGTGTGTCTTAGGTGTTTCTTCAGCTCTATGAATGCTGGATCATATAAATATAAGGCATCCCGGTTTATTTTACCTGATAACTATAAAACACCGTAATGCATTGTGTTGTGTCGGGTCGGGTCGGGTCGGGTCGGGTCGGGTGACAAGCGACAAGCGTGTGATTTATTCTGACTTTATTCAGTAATATAGAAACACATTAACAATTTCAGGTATACAATACAATAACCCGTCCGTGATGACAGGACTGACAGTTAACACGGACGGCGATTCAGACAGTTCTATTACCCGTCCTATGACATCACGGACAGACGGGCATTTTAGACAAAGATTGTACCCGTCCATGACTCGGACAGAAATCTAGCCAGTTCTGTACCTGTCTCGTGACATCATAAACGGGCATTTTAGACAGTCATATTAGCCGGCCATGACAGGAGAATATTGCCGGGGTGGCCTTGGTAGTGGGGATGAAGGCTGCAAGTTTTGTTTGCTCTCCTAACATTGTGACGTCTCCTCCACATGACTCTACCACCACCTCCTGTGTCTCATCTAATAATAACAACAATAATTAACGGTTTATTGAAAGAGCATGGCAGGTAGAAGGCTAAAAATATACAGTTACATAATTGGGGTCTCTTGATTGACAAATAATATACAAGAAACACTGATACAAATATGATATAATAACTAGGTGGGGAGAAGGTTATACTACAGGGTATTTCAGTGCAAAAGGTAAGATTGACTGGGAGTGAATACACTGGTTGATTACAAGTTGTTGATAATTTTTACAATGGTTGGGACTGGGCTGTTCTTATAGCGATCAGTTCGTGCTCGTATGGGCTGGATGCTGTTGTGGTGTCGAACATAAATTCGCGGACGAGGGATCTCGGGTGGTAGTAGGAGCCGGTGTCGAGGATGGCGCAGAAGCTTCTCACCAAATTTTCAGATCTGTGTGTGTGGGTCGTATTTACACACATACACACACACACACACACACACACACACCCCGATTACAATACCCTCATTCCCGTCCCACTCCATGCCGTCTCCACCTGTTGCTTCCCGTCCTAGATACTAACCTACTGTCTGTCCATCCACCGTCTACTGTCTTGGTCAACCACAACCAGACTAGAAGCGTTTTAATGGGATTATTCTGTTCTTTATTATTATTATTATTATTATTATTATTATTATTATTATTATTATTAAACGTCCAATCAAATGATATTTACTCCACGGAACTATAAGCTTATCAACCTGACCTGACCTGACCTGACCTGACCTGACCTGACCTGACCTGACCTTATCTGATCTTACCTAACCTAATTAGTACGGAACAAATATTGCCTGAAATACTTTTTTTTTGTTAGAAAGTTTGTGGATATTTTTTTGTTCAAGGAAATATTATGTTGAATTTTGTTGTGTTATTGTTGTGTGTGTGTGTGTGTGTGTGTGTGTGTGTGTGTGTGTGTGTGTGTGTGTGTGTGTGTGTGTGTGTGTGTGTGTGTATGTAAAAAGTGTGTGTGTGTGTGTGTGTGTGTGTGTGTGTGTGTGTGTGTGTGTGAACAATAAACTAAAGGATTTGGGTGTGAGGGAAGGAAGGGGCTGTAACGTGTAGTACTTGTTAGTATGGGATGACAGATGGCTTACATGTACCGTCCTCTCTCCCTCTCTTTCCCTCTCCTTCCCTCTCCTTCCCTCCCTCTCCTCCATTCCCTCCTCCCCTGCACTATCCTGTACCTTCCTTCGTACTAGCGGGTTGCACACAGAAACGCCCACCCCAGGACAGCTGACGGGGAGAAAAGAGTCCTGCTAGAGAGAAAGAGAGAGAGAGAGAGAGAGAGAGAGAGAGAGAGGGACACAAAATCTTAAGCAAATGTTCTTTCCTATATAAGTAGATATATTACATATGATAGATATATACACGGATTATGGGTAGTAGTTGTGACTATATTGAGGTCAACATTCGATTATAGTCACAGATATTTGCCTTCTGGGAGTTACTGAAATAAGGACTGATAATTAGCCTCCCTTTCCCAACCTCCTGGGGCCTCCCTCCCAGCTCCAGCTCCTCCCAACCTCCAGTCTCCCTCTCCCAGCCTCCAGCCTCCCCCCCTCTCCCAACCTCCAGTCTCCCTCTCCCAGCCTCCAGTTTCCCTCCCTCCTCCAGCCTCTCCTTCCTCCTCCAGTCTCCCTCCCTCCTCCAGTCTCCCCTCCCCAGTCTCCCTCCCTCCACGTATAAAACCTCCCCCGGATAAATGAAGCGTCACTCCACCTCCAGATGGCGTCTCTGACTCATTTCCGGGATTGGGTGGGTGAGGGAGTGACACACAGGTGAGGGGGGTGGGTGAGAGGGAGGGAGAGGTAGTTGATAGAGAGGGAGGGGTGAGAGGGATTAGGGAAAGAGGTGAACAATAATTACTCCATCTGTGGTGCTCCCTAAGAATAACGAGACCAGTTTAGTAATAAATTTTCTCTAATTTTAAACTTTATTGAAAATCTCAATAACTTTACTTAATCATTAAAACCCGACTGTATTTATTCTTTCGTCAGTGTTATTTGTTATTTAACCTTGAGAGTCTTACGTTTTTTTGCTGGCGTGTTTTTGTCCAAGTCTTACGCAATACACACTACACATTCTCAGACGTACACGCAAGGAGAAAGAGCGTTGAAGCTTATTTTTATTATATTAAAGTTCTCTTGTAAAAATGAAGCCCCAGTGAAGAGTTATTACACACACACACACACAGTGACATTAGCTCCTAGGCTGAGCAGTGCCGTCACTGGTGGTGAGAATGGCACCCTTGTGCACCATGCCCCCCCCCCCTCCCTCGGAGTGCCACCCGTAGGCTAATACTAAGGAATAGTGGCACCCTCCAGGCTCCCTCAGTGATGGGAACCACACCTTCGCATGCCACCTGTAGTATTGGCATAGTGGCACTCTCCAGGCCCCCCCTCAGTGATGGGAGCCTCGCTTCAGAGATCCACCTGTGGTGTTGACACTGTGGCACTCGCCAGGCTGCCTGAGGCCTCTATGTCAGCACCACAGGTCGTGGAGGCTATGAATATATTTCGCCGAGGCTCCCGGGGACGGTGTTGGCGTTACTTCCTCCATCACCTCCTCCAGGACTCTTGGCCAAATGTTGTGTGTAATACTAAATGTGTTTTCATAAGCCACATCAATGTCTTCTTTCTTTGTTACATGAAATTGTCGCAGCCTTACGTGTTTCCCTTGTGTCTGTGCTCTTAAACGAATGTGTGTGTGTGTGTGTGTGTGTGTGGCTCCCAGGGAGGCAGACACAATGGATCAAAGGCTGACCGATTGTTTATTATTGGGGGGAGCTGTCAGTGCTCCCTCCATTACGACTCTCTATACATTCTGTTTTATTGTTTATTTTTGGGTTGTGTTCAGTCAGCCTGATGCACACCTTTTCATAATCTGACTAACGGGTTATTTTTATATATTTTGAGTGGAATTTAACCACACACGCGCGCCTAGATATTAATTATTATTATTATTATTATTATTATTATTATTATTATTATTATTATTATTATTATTATTATTATATTATTATTATTATTATTATTATAATAATAGATGGTCTGACCGTGTGTTTGTCTTTCCCAGGTGGCGTTGGCAGCGGTATGCAGGAGGGCGGAGACGGCGAGCCACGAGTCCGCGTTAGTCAGGGTACTGTACTGCGCAGGCGGCTTTCTGAGGATATTGCGCATGCGTCACTTTTTTTTGAGAGGGAGGGGTGTTGAAAACCATTTTTTTCAATCTTGGCGTGTGTTCATGTGTGAGTGGGTGGGTGTGTTTTTTCCATAAATAATTTTGGTGTTTTAAATAAGGCTAGTTCGATGCCTGTATGTATTGGGTTCAGTTTCCGATGCTGTGGTGTTAGTGGACTGAAAATATATCCACTGAAGGTAATGTACGAGTCTATTGTATTCTTTAATCGTTTTGTTTTTATTCTCTTTTACTTTTTCGTTCTGGGTCTTGTTCGCTGTTTCTGATGATGATGGTAAGTGGAATATATTTTTTTTTTCAGGATTTATTTTTATTGATTGAAATATTAATGACTTTCCCTTTATGTAGTGGTGTTCTAGCGTTAATTAAGAGTCTGACCATGATGGAATAGAACTGTGTGTGTGTGTGTGTGTGTGTGTGTGTGTGTGTGTGTGTGTGTGTGTGTGTGTGTGTGTGTGTGTGTGTGTGTGTGTGTGTGTGTGTGTGTGTGTGTGTGTGTGTGTGTGTGTGTGTGTGTGTGTGTGTGTGTGTGTGTGTGTGTGTGTGTGTGTGTGTGTGTGTGTGTGTGTGTGTGTGTGTGTGTGTGTGTGTGTGTGTGTGTGTGTGTGTGTGTCTGTCTGTCTGTCTGTCTGTCTGTCTGTCAACGAGATATTAGCTGTATTGGACTACTGTATTATTATATTTTTCCGTTTTTTTTTGTATTTGCGGTCAATTCAGTACAACAGTTAGATAATATTTATATATAATTTACAGTAAAAGTTTGTATCAAGTATTACATAACACGATACAGTACATTAACACCTACCTGGTCGAGGGAAGACACGACAAGAGGTTACATAATACCACTGTACCCGGGATTGAGTAAATACAGGGACTAGTGTATACCTGCCTCGTAATTAGACGACCACGATGAAAGTACAGTAGTCATTTGAATCCTGTAATGAAGAAAGACTGTAAGACCTACTAATACTCTGTTATTATGTAAGATCACTGTATTTAATTCCATTTGTTGTAATTTTGGCAGAATATATAAGTATTTTTTTATCTTGACCTGACCTGACCTAACCATACCTACCCTAAGTGTTTTTCTCGTGTTATTGTTAGCGTTACGTGATTTTTTTTGTGACGTGTTACTATATTAGGTAGAAGTTACTGTGTGTGTGTGTGTGTGTGTGTGTGTGTGTGTGTGTGGCGTTGTCATGGTTCCCTCTGAGTGTAGTGTTAGTAGTCTGGCGGCCGACGATACAGCTCTTCTACTCAACCAGAATTTCCCCTCCTTCCTTCCTTCTTTCTTTCTTTCCTTTCCCTCCTCCTCCTTCCCCTCCTCCTCGCTGCCTTTGGGAGGAGAGTGTGGGCCGGGGGAGAGTGAAAGGTGACTTTTGTTATTACACTGGCTTTTGTTTTTTCGGTCTCCTGTTGTTGTTTTTGTTGTTGCTGCCCTTTTTGTTGTCTGGCGCGTTACTTGTTTACTTGTTTGCTTTGTTAGGGCTTCTCCTCCCCCTCTCTCTCTCTCTCTCCCTCTCCTCCTCCTTCCCCCCTCTCTCTCACACTACTAGCGTCGTTGACATTGTACACAGGACCTGAGGCGGATAAAAATGTGTGTGTTTTATTAGAAAAATATGAGTTGCGCTTAACATTGCTGAGCCAGTATGGGGATGAATTCTTCTCCGTCAGTGAGTGAGTCAGTGAGTGAGTCAGTCAGTCAGTGAGTCAGTCAGTAGGATGAATCTTGTGTTATTAAGATATCTTTATAATTAAACTATTTTTGTTGTGTTATCAAAATCATTACAAATCGCTGTGATATTGACCAGATGGTAATTACCGAGGAGAGGATAATTAGGGTTTTATTAGGGTTATAACTTACAAACGTCATCAAGACACCTGTGAGAAGTGACTTAGTAATTAACAGAAGTCATGATGGAGAGGAATGTTAAGGTAATTACATAAATGACTCTTATTAATTACTTAAAAGGTGTTATGTTATTAAATGATCGTATAAATAACACTGTTCTTAAGAGTCTAAATCGGTGTTATGTATTGTTATGTTATTCACGTGTCTTACAGAAATTATTATTATTATTACGTCGACTTGAGTGCTGTAAGTTAGTATTATATTGTGTTGTGTAATTCACCGACCTTACACAAATCACAGTTAATGATAGTGTGTGTGTGCGTGTGCGTGTGCGTGTGTGTGTGTGTGTGTGTGTGTGTGTGTTGGCGCGCGCTTATGAATTTGAATTTTGCCACTTACAGCGACTAGTTTATTGTGCACCCCATTCTCATCCTGGACGGTAGCTCAAAAAAAAAAGATTACAGAGTCGAGGTGATAAAAGTATATACAAAAAATAATAAAGTATTAAAGGTACAATATATACTAAAATGTTAAAGTAACCAAAGTATATAGTAAAGAAAATATACAGTTCAGGTAAACATCAAGGTATGTAATGAGTAAATATACCTGTAGCCTTGGATCGGGTTTCCCCCCCTCCTCTCCCCCTCTTCCCCTCCCCCCTCCTTTCCCTCCCTCCTCTTCCCCCTCTCCGCTCTGGTTGTATTAGCGTTCACTCAACTTTGTCTTTTGAAAGTCCATTTGAAATTCTGTCGTGTGTGTGTGTGTGTGTGTGTGTGTGTGTGTGTGTGTGTGTGTGTGTGTGTGTGTGTGTGTGTGTGTGTGTGTGTGTGTGTGTGTGTGTTAATTCCTATACTCAATATACAGCTGGTGTGAAGTGGGCAGTGGATGAGGAGAATCATCAGTAATCTAAGGGTTACTGGTTCAGACCGTGAAGTGTATGTGTGTGTGTGTGGGTGTTTCCCAGTACCTTGTCTAAATTTCTATATCTCTGTGGTTCTTCTTAACACTCCTAGTGGTTAGTGCCAGAGAGACCGTCAGTGGCACTCTCTTAGGGAGAAAGGGGGTGGTGGTGAATTGTGATTAGAGGAAAGACAAATGTGTCGTGGATAGAGAGAGAGAGAGAGAGAGGTGAGCACTAGACAGGCGTGCAGGTGAGTCTGTAGGTCTTCACTCGTCGTTCATTACCTGCAGCTTACGGTGGGTTAGGTAATTGTATTAACCTTGTGTGTAGCGTCATGACATATAGCTTTCATCTGCCTCGGTTTGTAGAACGCTGTGTGTGTCAAGTGTCATGCGTCATGCAGAGTTGTTGCCAGCAGTGACGGTGATATGGTGTTGGAATTGTGAGGTTAGGTTAGGTCAGGTCAGGTCAGGTTAGGTCAGGTCCAGGAGTCCAGAGTTGGAATCCAGATCAGGTCGTTTAAGGAAGAAAGGCTTAGTAATGGTGTGTGTGTGTCTCTCTCTCTCTCTCTCTCCTCTCTCTCTCTCTCTCTCTCTCTCTCTCTCTCTCTCTCTCTCTCTCTCTCCTCTCTCTCTCTCTGTCTGTCTGTCTGTCTGTCTGTCTGTCTGTTTATTAGGGGAGGGAGGGGGGGGGGGTCCTGTGTTTAGTGGCCGTGTTATGTAAGGAGGAACAACCATGACAGAACACATCTATAACAGCAGTAAAAATAAACAGACTACTGTAGTGGGAGAAAGAACCAGTGTGTATGTATGTATGTATGTATGTATGTATGTATGTATGTATGTATGTATGTAACAGCCAGGGAAAATACATACACGGTGAAAGTGAATAATAATAATCCCATGAGGTGAAAGATGGAAGAGGGAAATAATAGAATAAAAGAGAAGAAAAACGGAAGAGAAGAATGATAAGTTAAGAGTTAGTATACGGGGTTGAAGCTCATTTTCTCTTGGCTAATTTTCCTCAGATATTTTCCACCAATAAGAGACAATTTCATTTAATATCCCGATAATAAGAGAACGCGATCAACAAATGAAAGTTATAATGATGAAAGTTTCCCCAGTGTGGGTATTTTGAGTTTCCTGAAAATAATAGGGAAAAAAAATATATTGGAATTTATTTTTTTTCCACGCGGAGACGAAATTGCCTTACTTAATGTATTTTTAATAATATTTAATTTAAAATAAAACTTTAAAATATTCTGTGAAATTTAGCGTATTTATGTAAATTCTGTATTAGCATTTTGTTTTTGGTAGCAGGAATTAAATATTTTGAATAATGTGTTTTATAAGACTTAATTATTTTTTTTAATCATTGTTTATTCGTAATTATAGTCTTTGTCTATATTAATAACATGAATTATACGTCGATCTTGTTATAGTGGTTTTACATAGAGAATTTGAATTATATTATTTTACATGCCATATTATTTTTCGGTGGGAAATTATAGCTTATTCTGAAGTTTATCGTCATTCTCCGGTTAATTTTTAGTGTTCAGCCAATGACGAAAGTCCCTGTACACGCCTGAGAGCGAGAGAGAGAGAGAGAGAGCGTCATTAATAACGAAAATCACCAACTGTAGTAAAACGTGACGAAAAATCCGGACGAAAAATTGTGGAGTAGTTTCCATCGTGTGTGTGTGTGTGTATATTTGTGTGTGTGTGTCAGCCAGCCCAGAGAGACTCCGGTGTACACGAGTGATTGATAAACTTTTTGGGGGCAAATAATTTTCTAACTAAATAAATGTTTAAAAAAAAAAAATCTTCAACATTAATATTTTTTCTTCTTTATAAATAATTCTTGTATTTTATTCAGTTATGAGAATTTATATTACGTGTTTCTAATTGGCGTCTCTTTTCCTCGGACAAATATGAATGTTTTTGGTCTCCGTATTATTTTTTTTTTTTGTGATAATAGTTTTCACTGCCAGTCACTCATATGCCAGTCGTTAGAGTGACTGGAGGCGCCTGACCGTGAGATAAATGGATAGAAATTGTGGGAAGATAACGTGACTAATGTGGTGTCTGTCTGTCTGTCTGTCTCAAGTTGCTGTCATTTTTTATCTCTGTCTATCATTAATGTGTCTTAGATCTCGCTGGAATTTTGACACACACACACACACACAC